CGCGCAGTCACGCGCGCGCACACGCGCAAGCAAGCGCGCGCACGCGCACGCACTGCCCCCGTTTGAGAGCGAGGCGTGATTACAATGCTAGGACACTCAGCCCCCCCCCTCCGCGATTTTAGTCATGTTTTTAAGCCCCCAAGCGGGGTATGGTTCCAGCGCCCAATGTTCACGAGGGAAGGTCGCTCCAGCAGAGTCTGCCGTCAAGAATGGTGGGCTCCACCACCCAGTTTCTCCGAGGGGCAGTGATTCCAGCAGCCCGCGGCGTGGGCTCCAGCACCCAATGAGTTTTCACGAGGGCAAGTGCCTCCAGCAGATTATGCCGTCAAGAGGGGTAGGCTCCAGCTGCCAATATTTAGGAGGGGCACTGGTTCCAGCAGCCCACGGCGCTAGTTCCAGCGCCCAATGTTTACGAGGGAAGGTAGTTCCAGCAGATTATGTCGTCGAGAAGGGTCGGCTCCAGCAGGCCATGCTCACGAAGGACCAGCGGAGGACTGGCTCCAGCAGCTCACGGCGTTGACTCCAGCTCCGAACTATGGGAAGGGCGTCTGAAAGTGATCTTAGACGACCTGCGCCCCACCCACCCACGAACCCTCTTGCAGCCCGCCAGACATTTCACCAGCAACATGTTCACCTAACTGCAGGGCCCTGTGAAGAGGGAACCTGGAGGGAGGGTTTCTTGCAGCATCTTTGATATGACTTGGGGAAGCACTGGTCCTCCTCCTCCTCCTCCTCCTCCTCCTCCTCCTCCTCCCTCATCCTCCTCTTCCTCCTCCCCCTCCCTTCCTCCCTCTCCTCCCCCTCCCCCTCCTCCTCCTCCTCCTCCTCCTCCTCCTCCTCCTCCTCCTCCTCCTCCTCCTCCTCCCCTCCTCTCCCTCCTCCTTCCTCCGCCTCCTCCTCCTCCTCCTCCTCCTCCTCCTCCTCCTCCTCCTCCTCCTCCTCTCCTTCTCCCTCGTCCCCCCCCCCCTCCTACGTATTACCCTCCTCCTTGCTCATCCTTGCCATCGTCCTCGGGGGGCGGTCTGTCGACTTTGCGAGGGCGTCTCGAGCGGGACCCCAGATAGGGACACGCCCTCTCTCCCTCCCCCCTTCCCTGAATCCCAGCGCCCGAGGTCTTCTGCAGGCCCCCAGCGCCGCTCTCCGACGAGGCGCTGCGGGAAGCGATGGCAGCGGCGGCCGAGTTGGCGAGCAACCCGCAGGGGGGCGCCAAGGACAAGGTCGTGCCCCGCCCCTGGCGGCCCTCGGCGGCGCACGACTCGGCCGCTGCCGACGTTGCCGCCGCCGTCGCCGCCGCCGCCGCCGCCGGCGGCGTCGTCGTCGTCGTCGTCCTCGTTGTCGTCGTCGTCGTCGTCGTCGTCGCCGTCGTCATGGTCGTCGTCGTCGTCGTTGTCGGTTTCCCGCGCTCTGTCGTCGCTCGGCACTGGGCACTCGGCGCTTGGCGCTCGTCGTCGTTGCTCGGCGCTTGTCGTTGCTCGGCGCTCGTCGTCGCTCGTCGTTTGTCGTGGTCGCAGTTGCCCTCATCGCTCGTCGCTCGTCGTGCCCGCCGGCGTCGCCGTCGGCGGCGTCCTGACCCTTTTCCCGTTCGTCCGCCGCCACCTCTCCTCAGCGGACGCGGCAAGGACCGGCCGCCGCCTGCTCTCTTTCCCACAGCCTGTGCCACAGTTGGTGTACGTATGCCTCCTCCTCCTCCTCCTCCTCCTCCTCCTCCTCCTCCTCCTTCTCATCCTCCTCCTCCTCCTCCTCCTCCTCCTCCTCCCGAGAAGGCACATCTGCAGGCGTCCGCATGCATAAACGGTATTAGATCCGCGCGGGTTGCTTGGACGGGCGCTGGACCCCCTGGCGGCGCCTCTGGCGCCGCCCTGGGCGCGCTCCGCCCGCGCGCCAGGCACTGGGGTCCAGCACCGATCCCGGAAGTCCGCGCGGGCAACTGACAGTTTACCTCTGTATGGGAAGCGTTCTTCTTCAACCTTCCTCCTCTTCCCCCTCCTCAACAGTCTCCTCCACGCTTCTCTCCACTCCCACCTCTCTTCTCCCTCCTACCCCCCCTCTCCCCATCGATCTTCCTCTCGTCCCGCGCTGCGTGCTGCGCGGTAGAAGTGCGAACGATGATCGCTCCTCATCCGCATACTCTCTCTGCCGACCTTTCTGTCCCACTCAACCCTTCTCCTTTTTCTCATTCACAGCCCCCTCCCCCTCCCTCCTCCTCCTTCTCCTCCCTCTTACCTCCTCCTCCTCCTCCTCCTCCTCCTCCCTCTGACCTTCTCCTCCTCCTCCTCCCCCTCCTCCTCCTCCTCCTCCTCCTCCTCCTCCCCCTCCTCCCCCTCCTCCCCCTCCTCCACCCCCTCCTCCCCCCTCCCTCCCTCCTCCCCTCCTCCCCCCCCTCCTCCTCCTCCTCCGCCTCCTCCTCCCTCCTCCTCCTCCTCCTCCTCCTCCTCCTCCTCCTCCTCCCTCCTCCATCTCCTCCTCCCTCCTATCTCCTCCTCTTACTCCTCCTCCTCCTCCCTCCCTCACTTTTTTTCCTCCTCCCCCCCTTCCTCCTTTTCCTTCTCTGCCTCTCCCCCTCCCCTCCTCCACTGCCTCTTCCCTCCCACCTCCGCCTCCTCTTCCTCCTCCTCCTCCTCTCCTCCTCCTCCTGCTCCTCCTCCTCCTCCTCCTCCTCCCTCCTCCCTCCTACCTCCATCTCTCTACCTCTTCCGCCCTAGCTTTGCCCTCCTCCTCCTCCTCCGCCTCCTCCTCCTCTTCCTCCTCCTCCTCCATCATACCCATCTACCTCCTCCGTCCTTCTGGCAGGTTCCAGCGCTATCGTTCTGAGAGCTTCCAGAGATTACTGGAGGCTCCCTGGAAGGTTCCACGGGCCGCTGGAGGGCTCCTCGAAAGAACCCAGCATTTGTGGAGCCTGAAGGGCTCCCGAGAGCCCCTTGGAGTTTCCGGAAGCACCCGAAGGTTTCCTGGAAGGTTCGAGGCTGGCGGCGCCGCTGGTGGGTTCCTTGAGAGATCCAGGAGGCTCCCGGATGTCACTGGAAGTTTCCAGCGTCCGAAATGGGTTCCTGGGAGGCCTCCAGGGGCCCCTGAAGGGTTCCTGGAAGGGCCCGGGCGTTCCCGCAGCGTCTCTGGAGGGTTCACGAGAGAGCCCCCGAGGGTCGTCGTGCAGCCGTGGGGCCGGTACGTTTCCAAAGGAAGGCGTACCACTTGTTTCGCTCTGCTCCTGCCCGAGTCCTGGGCCATTGCCGCTTTTCAGGGACATGGCTCATTGCAGGCATCGATTACAGTGCCGTTTTTAATACATGCTCCGAGTGCGGATCATGTGTTAGAACATGCAGGGATGTGGTATTAAAACAACGATGAGTTTATGCATCAAGTTATCCATACGTGAACCATGTATTACAAAAACAACGGTATGCTTGAACATCCTATGTATTAAAGACTGCCCTGTAGGTAAGAGTGCACCCGAGGGTCCTGTCCCGCTCTCCTGGCAGCCCTCCTCTTGGCGCCGGCTGCCCCGTCGCGGTCGTTTAGATGTTGGCTCCTCGGCGCCCCGCCGCGGCCCGACCGCCCGTCGGATCCCCCCTGCGGCCGCCAGCCCAAAAGTTGCTTTGCTCACCAGCCTCGAACATATCCCCATCCCTGAGATTGACACGCCAGAAGGCGATGACAATCTGAGGGATGCACCCTCAGAAACTGAGGGAACCCCCAAGATCGCCATGGTGATGAGGCGATGCCCCACATGGGGATAGGGATATGTTCTGGGCTGGCAAGGTGCTGCTTCTGGAAGAGCCCCGTCCGCGCCCGCGCCTGCCGGTGCCAGGGGAAGAAGGCGGCGGCGGCGGCCCCGAAGAAGGGCGCGGAGGCGCGCGGGGGCGGCCGCCGCTGGCACGTCGGGGCCGCGAGCCTCAGGGCGAGGGGGGGGGAGGAGGAGGAGGAGGAGGAGGAGGAGGAGGAGGGAGGAGAGGAGGAGGAGGAGGAGGAGGAGGAGGAGGAGGAGGAGGAGGAGGAGGAGGAGGAGGAGAGGAGGAGGGGGAGGAGGAAGAGGGAGGAGAGGAGGAGGAGGAGGAGGAGGAGGAGGAGGAGGAGGAGGAGGACGAGGACGAGGAGGAGGCGGAGGAGGAGGAGGAGGAGGCCGAGAGGACTGCGAGGGATCGTGACAGAGCAGCGCTTCGGAAGCAAACATCGTGGCGCCCCCTCCGTCGGTCGCCCTCCGCGGCACGCCTGCCGGGCGCCAGCGGGCCCATCTCTTCAGGCCGCGGCTGGCAGTCGCAGGGCCCAGCGGCCGCATCCGAATCTGGGCACTGGCGGCCATCAGCGTCAGCGCCGGGGTGGAGGACGACGAGGACGCCGACCTCCACGGCGACGCGGACGACGAGGACTTCGGCTGCGGTGCGGGCGACGACGACGATGATGACGACGATGACGACGACGATGACGACGACGAGCATGACGACGACGACGACGACGACGACGACGACGACGACGACGACGACGACGACGACGACGACGACGACGACTTCAACGGCGACGCGGACGGCTGCGTCGACGCAGACGACGGCGACGATGCGAACTCACCGCCCACCAAACCGCCCCAACCCAACCCGAAGGCCCCCATGTGCCCTCCGTTTCCAGGGGGGGGGGGTCTGGCATCGCTCGGGCGTGTGCATTTTTTCTCGGCGAGAACCATTGAGGACGATCCTGGACCATCGAGCAAAAAAACGCACGCACGTAACCGAAAAGTGCACGGGAAATGGACGTCCGAGCGATGGCGAGGGGGTCAAGCAGTCACGAGCAAGCCCGACGACTCCGACGACGGCGCGGCGCTGAAGAAGGAACCCTTTTCGTTTGGGAGGGGCTCGGTGTTCCTTGATTGTTTCACAGTTTGCCGCAGGTTTTCCTCAGGTTGTCGATGGGACGTCGAAGTTCAACTTCTGGAGAAAATGGGCCTCGTTCCTTGTTTTGGGTTCCTTGGGTCAACGCCCCGAGCGTAGTCACAAACAACCCCGACGACCCCGATGGCGGCGACTGCGACGGCGGCGCGGCGGCACACCGACGGCCGCGGTGGCGACGCCGCGCGGGGCGGTGCGGCTCTCCGCGCAGAGGCCAAGGGCAAGAAGGCCCCGGAGGCGCAGCAGGCGGCCGAGGATCGCGCGCGCTCTCGCCGCCGCCACGCCCAGGCCTGCGGAGGCATCCTGCCTCCGCCTCCTCCCTCTCCTCCTCCACCACCTCCTCCTCCTGCCCCTTGATTCCTCCCTCCTCCTCCTCCTCCTCCTCCTCCTCCTCCTCCTCCTCCTGTTCCTCCTCCTGCTGCTTCTCATCCTCCTCCTTGTCCTCCTCCTCCTCCTCCTCCTGTTCCTCCTCTTGCTGCTTCTCCTCCTCCTCCTCGTCCTCCTCCCCCTCCTCCTCCTCCTGCCTCTCTATTCCTCCTGTCTTCTCCTCCTGCTGCTGCTCCTCCTCCTCATCCGACGTGACGGCGACGACGGCCGCCTCCATGCGAGAGGCTGGGCCGCACTGGGGCATAATAGTGCTGAGAGTCTGCCATGCTACGGGGATTTCATAGTGCAAATTGTTCAGGAGCAGCGTCGAAAGTACGATGGGGTCATCTCTGGATAATGTCCGTAGAAAGGCTCGAGCGGTCCTTGTGGCCGCGAGTGGCATTCATGAACATGCCGCCACCAGTGACTTTGCCGGCGGTGACCCTGACGTTGCGAGCGTTGCGTTGTTTGGGATTGTCTGATTCTGCGTCGCACACGCGCAAGATCGAACACACTCAACATCTTGCCACAACGTTCGACGTCGTTTGTTGCAGGGTGTTGCATGTGCCCACTGCCGATGCCCATGATGGTGTCTTTTCCCATGTCCGTGGGGTGGCCACGATGTGTCACTGTACAGATTCCTTCACTGGCCTTGCGATTTGCGTTTCTGGCCGCCTCCTTGAAGCAGTGGGGATCGATTCCTCATGGGGTCTGTCCTCTCACCACAGGGTGTTGGTGTAGGACCGGCCATGCCGTTCGCACGTATATGAACGCAAGAGCGCCTAGCTGAACAGCCATTCTGCGGCGACGCGAGCGCGGCAGTGGAGGACGCTGCGAGCGGCACTGCAGCAATTCAGCAGTGAAGTGCCTGACGCCCGAGTGGAAAGCATTGTTGGGGGTGCCCGCGATTTTGTTGTCGACCCTGTACAGCACTCATCTTGTTGCCAGACGGCCCCGTCCTCGACGCCTGGACCGATCTCCCGGGCGCCCTCCAGGCCGCCCTAGGGGGCGAGCCTGACGAGACGACGTCTCGCAGAGCTGGCGTGAATGAAGCTGGCATCCAGTGGTGGACTGCTGACGCTTTAGACTTTGCACGCGTCTGCTGTGGTACCGTGGGACACGCGCATCGCCGGAAGCCTGTGCACATTGTGAGATCCACCCCCCATGCGTGCGCCTCCGATCACGTTCCAGTGGCCGTCACTTTCATGAGGGGGTTGGCGAGGCAGCGACGCATGCGGCAATCATCTGTCCACAAGCCGATGCCCGATTTTCTCATGTATGACGATCCTTTCTAGTCTAGTTTTGCCGAATCCGTTAGATGGTCCGGAAGGAGGAAGCATTGGTCTCGAGGGCCTGCGCGAATTCCAGAACTTTGCCCATGCGTCGGCGGATGCGTATTTGAAGGAAGAGCGTTTCCTCGCTCACCTTGCTTCGCATAAGTTTGACGTCGTTCCCTCTACCCATGTTGCCGCCGCGCCAGCCCCCTTTACCAGGTGGATGGCAGTTTACCCTTTTCTGCGCACCCTTGTGGTAGCTGATTTTGACATGCTTTGCAGCACGGTCAGAGTGGAGGGGACCGAGGGATTGTCAACCCATCTGCGCGGGCTGCACGATGACGTGGTCCGAGAGAGCGCCTCCCCAGTGGACCAAGGCAGGTGTGCAGCAGGACAGGTAGAAGCGATGGTTGTTAATTTGACCTCTGCAGGTCGTACCTTCTGATATGGCTTCTCTCTGCAAAGCTGAGCGTTTCCAGGACCATCATGATGAGGTTGAGGATGGGTTTGAGGATGAGGATGAGGATGATGATCAGGATGATGATGACGATGAGGATGAGGATGACTCTGAGGACGAGGATGAGAATGAGGGATGGTGGGGATGATACTGATTATGCTAATGCTGATAATGCTGCTGGTGATGATGAGGAGGATGAGGATGAGGTTGAGCATGCTGATGATGATGATGACAATAATGATGATGCTGATGATGATGATGACGACAACGAGGAGGAGGAGGAGAAGCAGTTGGAGGAGGAGGGGGATGGTGTTGATGACGACGACGACGATCGATGACGAGGAGGAGGATGGTGATGGCGATGGTAAGGGTGATATCGATTGTGATGGTGATTGTGATTGGCGCGATGCGCGCCGATCGATCGTATAGTAGTCAGTCGGCGCCCTTGCGCGCCGCCGCCCGCGAAAAACATCCTGGAGAGAGGGGCTCTGAGGGTCCGCCAACTAATCGCGCCACACTCTACTTGCGCCACCGCGGTGGCAAGGGGGCCAAACCGGCGGGTGGCGCCGCCTCCGCCCCCGGCTGCCAGCTGGCCAGGATCCACCGCGGCCCCACGATTTGGAGGAGGAAGGGGAGGAAGATCCTCCTCTTCCTCCTCCTCCTCCTCCTCCGCGTCCTCCTCCTCCGCGTCCTCCTCCTCCTCCTCCTCCTCCTCCTCTTCCTCCTCCTCCTCCGCGACCTCTTCCTCCGCGTCCTCCTCCTCCTCCTCCTCCTTCTCCTCCTCCTCCTCCTCCTCCTCCTCGGCCTCATGTTTCTCTTCCTCCTCCTCCTCCTCCTCCTCCTCCTCCTCCGCCTCCTGGAGGACGAAGAAGGGGGAGGAGGGATGGCCCGCGCCCGCGGCCCCTCGTGGGGCGCAGACGGGACATCCGGGCTCGGAGCGCGCCCGCCGCCGCAGGCCGCCGCACGCCGCCGCGTGCCGCGTCGCGAAGCGCGCGGCGCCAAAAGTGGCCCGGCGCGGAGCGGTGCCGCGCCCTGCGCGGGGCACGCCGTGCGGAGGCAGCTCTCGGGTCGGACGCAAGGGGGTTGGAGGTACGAAAGCTGCTGCGCTCGGCATCGCTCGGACGTGTGCATTTTTTTCCTTCGGCGAGGACCATCGGGGAGCATCCTTGATCACTTGGCGAAACAACCACGCACGAAACCGGAAAAAAAGACACAGGGAACGGACGTCCGAGCGATGGCCAGGGGTCGGACGGAAGGGGGGGGGGATAGGGAAAGGGGGGGGTACGAAACCTGCTGCATGCAGCTGGTTTCGGCCCCGCCGCCGGGCCCATTCTTCGATACATGGGCTTGACATCGCTCGGACGTGTGCATTCTTCCTTCGGCGAGGGCCATCGGGGAGCATCCCTGATTCTCTGGCGAAAAAAAAAAACACGCACGAAACCAACAAAAACACAGGGAATGGACGTCCGAGCGATGGCCAGTGCATGCAGCTGGTTTCGGCCCCGCCGCCGGGCCCATTCCTCGATGCATGGGCGCCTCCGGCGCCGTGAGGCGCCGGGAAAGTCAGCTACGCGTGAGCCGACTTTCAGACCCCCCCTTTTGCTATCCCCCCCTTTCGCCGAGCCCGAAACTCCTGGGAGGTCAACTTCTGACTCTGCCCCTGTCCGAAGCCTGGCTTCCTTCAGGAGGGAGCAAAAGCACACAGACACCATGAATTCGTCGATTCCATGGAAAAAAGATGCGAAAATACGGGAAGTGGGGGGAAGACAGAATCCCATGAAGTATATGAAAATATGGAGAATCTTGTTATTTGTGTGTATTTCTTTGTGTCCCTGGGCCCCTTCATTTGTCCAGTCTTCACTTCCGCTCCATCCAGCTCGCTCCCGCGGAGTCCGCGGCCTGATCCCCGGCGCAGCAGTCCCCCAATGGGGCTTCCTCCTCCTGAGTCCTTCCGACGAAGACCTCCCAGCAGTTGTTGCCTCCCAAGAGGCGCCAGCGGCGCGAGGCTCGGACGGGTCTAGGACGAGGATCCATCCATTCCAGAGCGTTCTGGAACGCTCTCAGAGCCTTCCGGAACGCTCCGAGAAGGCCGCGGCGCCAGAGGCACCCTCTCCAGAGCCGCCTCGACCTCAGAGATACTCTCGACGCCTCCTCGCCTTGACGTCCCCTCTTCGCCCCGGCTTCGGCGCAAGAGGTGCCTCGTACGGGCGGCAGCGGCGCGAGGGGGCCCCTCGCGCGCGCACGCGCGCCCCCAGGAGGACGCGCCGCCGCCCGAGCTCCCGCCCGAGAGGCCCCGCCGCCGCGCCCGTGCCGCCGCGCCCTGCCGCGCGGCCGCGGCGCGGCCGCTGCGCGGCCACCGCTGCCGCCGCCGCGCTGTGCTGCGGGTCTGCGGCAGTGGCGGCCAGTGCAGGGTGCCACATGCGAGCCCCACCCCCACCCCCCACGATTTCGGAGGGGGAGGGTGGGGTTCACTTCCTCCTCCTCCTCCTCCTCCTCCTCCTCCTCCTTCTCCTCCTCCTCCTCGGAGGGGGAGGGTGGGGTTCACTTCGTCCGGGAGCGCCCGAGCTCCCGCCCGAGAGGCCCCGCCGCCGCGCCAGTGCCGCCGTGCCCTGCCGCCGCCGCGGCGGCCGCCGCGGCGCGGCCACGGCTGCCGCCGCCGCCGCCGCGGCGCGGGTCTGCGGCAGTGGCGCGCACTGGTCGGAGGTGGATAGACCTCCTACCCTGACACGTCGATTAAGGAATTGGCCTTTTTCGGTTCGCGAGAGGGCGTCGCGGCCGTCATGTTTGCGGGTTCAGGTCCGTCGGTTTCGGTCCCAGGCCGTTTTCACTAAGGGGAGGTCTTTTAAAGGGAGGTCTGTCCACCGCCGAACTGGCCGCGGCCTGCTGCCGTCTCGCAGGTTGGCCCCTGCTCCAGCCGCCGCTGGGCACTGCACACGCGTCGCTCCCACCCCATGGGAAAAGTCGAGGATGGAGGGTCGAGCTTCGTTTCTTGCCGCTCGGTCCTCAAGGGCCTCCAAGGGCTCCTCGTCGCCACGGCTGGATCCGCCTTGACGTCCTGGCCAGAACGCACCCCAGAACATGTCCTGGGATACCCTTTTGACCCTCAGGCCCCGACATGCTCGCGTCGCTAAAAACTAACGGCCGGAGCCTTTGGCAATTTTCGGCCTCTGTGGGCCTTCGCTGGGCCCCGGGGCCGTCAAGAGACGACTCGGCATCAGAGACCGGTCATGGTGAAAGGGACAGGACTTGCGGGGGACAAGCATCGAAAGAATCAAGGCGTCGCACAAGACCAGGCCACCATTCTCTACACGAGTTTGCCTATCGGAGGTCGGCTCGTTGGGCGTTTCGGGTTCGCCTTGCGGCTGTCTTACTCGCATTGCGCTCACTGCCGAGGCTGCTATATACGTTGAGAGGATCGTCACCGATTGTTAGCTTGTATTGCCGTCGGTCCATCATCAAACAGATCAGCGCTAGCGTTGGATAGCGTCTGGTAATCGATGATTTCGCGCCGATGTTGCGTCTGATATCGCAACAACACCGAGCACAAAAGAACCCCCAACACATTGCAAACAAACACAAAATGATTGAGTACAAAAGAACAGCTGACCCTAATAACACGATGAAGACGTGGCCTCACTGAGGCACCCGTCTTCGCACTAGGGATGATACATACTTCTGGGGGGGCAGCCTGGCCTGCTACATCTGCAGAAGGAGACCTCCCATCCCTGATGTTCTTGGACCTCCCAGCTCAGGTCCCCTCCCATAGAGTTCGGTGCCCTTGTTTTCGCCCGTCCAGAAAATCGGGCCGGACGAAAGGGGAGGCTTGGGAAAGGGGGGGGTACGAAATTTGATGCATGCAGCTGGTTTCGGCCCCACCGAGGGGCCCATTCCTCGATACATAGCCGCCTCCAGCGCCGGGAGGCGCCGGGAAAATCAGCTACGTGAGCTGTTTTTCACCCCCCCCTTTGCTATCCCCCCTTTCGCCCGACCCGAGAAAAGCGAGTGCAGCCTCACGCAAGCTCCCGCGAAGGGCCACCGAGGGCGTCGCACCACAGGCGTCGCACGTCTGGGCCGGCGCCGCCTGCTACCTGCGGCGCCCCGCCGGGGGCGCGCCGAGCGCGCCCGTCGCCGCACGGTGCGCGATCGCGCACGCTTCTGCGGCGAGCGGGTGGGTGGTGCTCCGCCTCCTCCTCGTCCTCGTCCTCGTCCTCGTCCTCGTCATGTAGGATGAGTAGGTCCTCCTCCTCCTCCTCGTCCTCGTCCTCCTCCTCCTCGTCCTCGCCCTCCTCCTCCTCTTCCTCCGCCCGGGTGTGGTTCCGTGGACCTGGTGCCTGTGCGCTGCCGTGCGCTCCCTGCGTGCTCCCTGCATCGGGGGAACAAGGAGTGGCATGAACATGACAACTCGGAGGTCCGCGCGGAGTTCTCGGATCGGGCGGGTGGCAAGGGGGGGCGAACTAAACTGGGGGTGGAGGAAAAAGGCCCCAATGGGGCCCTTCAGGGCCCCTTCTGGGCACCAGTTGTTTCCGCAGGGGCCCTAACCCTAAAGGGCCCCTTTAGGACCCTCTCCTCCCCCCCCCCATTGAGGCCACCCCCCAACACCACCAGCCCGACCCTGAGTAGGGGAACAAAAAGTGGCATCAACATAAAAACTCGCAGGTCCGCGCGGAGTTCTCGGATCGGCGCTCGGACCCCCCTCCCTGGCGCGCGGAGCGCGCCAGGGGCGGCGCCGGAGGCGCCGCCGGGGGGCCCCAGCGCCGATCCGATAAATCCGCGCGGAGCTCCGAGTTTTCATGTTTATGCCACTTTTTGTTCCCCTGTGCATGTTCAGTGTAACTCGTCTCGGCGCCCGCGAAGTGGGTAACCGGTCGGACCGAGGGATGAGATCGAGAGGTCGGTTCGGTGGGGGGGTCCCCGATACTCTCCGTGCTCGTCGGATGCCCTTTTTGCATCCGTGGAAGGGTCTCCTTGGATGTTCTTTGTGTTTTTTGGTAGCGGAGGGCCTCACGTTCTTGAAGGATGCTCCTCTGTCCTAGGCCCGCCTGTGCGGCAAGAGCGGGGCCCTGAAGAAGGAACCATTTTCGTTGGGGAGGGGCTCGGTGTTCCTTAAGTGTGTCACAGTTTGCCTTAGGTTTTCATGAGGTTTTCGATGGGAAGTCGAAGGATAACTGATGGGAAAAAGGGGCCTCGTTCCTTATTTAGCGTTCCTTAGGTCAACGCCCCGACGGCACGGCAAGAGCGGGGCCACAAAGGCCGACAGCAGTCCCTGCCCAGTTGGAGCAGGGCTCCTGCTGCGGTGCCGCCGCGGGCGCCGTCCGTTTGAGACAGGATCGGCGGCGAGCGAGGGGGGGAAATGAGAAGGAGGAGGCCTCGTCTTGCATGTCGGCGCCTGCTCTCCGTGTTTTTCCCCTCCCCCCTCGTCCCTCGTCCTCCTCCTCCTCCTCCTCCCCCTCCTCTGGCAGCACGGCGTCTTCGCCTTGCGCTCGCCCGCCCGCGAAGGCGGCCAGGCGCGGCCAGCTGCGGTTCTTGTTCGTTCCCTTTCGGTCTGGGTCGGGGGCTGCGGCTCGCAGGCTGGAGGGAGTGTAAGCACGCTAGACGATTCCCAATTTCGGGGAAATTACCTTTGGGCTTTGTTGGTGCGATCGAGGGTCGATGCTCCTCGCGCATTCGTTTTAACAGGAGGAGGCCTTCTCAGAAGGCGACGGGGCTTCTCACAAGGCCTCTGGCCTTCTGAGGGTTGTTCTGTGTCTTCGGGGAAGGCTTCGGAAACTTTTCAGAAGACCGGGGGACTTCCGAACCTTCTGAGAAGGCCTCTCCTTCTCATTTCCCCCCCCCTCGCTCGCCGCCGACGGGGGGACGTCTGCCCAGCAGCGGCCGATGTCGGTTTGGGACAACGCTCGGGGGACGCCAACAAAACGGGGCCGTCTGCGCCGACGTCGGCGCGTGGGCTGCTCTTGTAAGGTCGGGCGGCGTGAGCGCCCTCTGTTGCAGCGTAGCGTACCGCGCTGGCGGCCCGCGTAAAATCGCTATGCCATCTCGCGTAAGACCCGCTTCTGATCGTCGCTCACTTGTTGCTGGGCATCGCAACCGTTCTTGCCCGTATACCGACTTCGGGCGCAAGCATCATCGCAGGACCCGTAGAGCGTCGCTCTTGGGCTCAAGAGCCTTGGCATCGCTCGGACGTGTCCATTGTTCCTCGAGAACCATCGAGGAGCATCCTTAATCATTCGAAAAAAACACAGGGAATGGACGTCCGAGCGACGGCCAGTTTCGGGCGTCCGCATCATCGCAGGGCACGCAGAGCGTGGCTCCTGGGCTCGAGAGCTGAACCGCCGCCCCCTTCGGGTGGCTGCGGCGCCCGGCGGCACACCCGCGGCGGCCCGCGCGCGCGAGGCCCGTCGGCGGCCTCGTGGTGCCCCTCGACCCGCTGCTGCGTCCCGCCAGGGCGCCCGCGGGCGCGCAGGCGCGGGAGCTGGGCGAGGTCGCTGGCGCGGCCCGCCGCGGCGCCGCCGCCGCCACCCGCGGCAGCCGCCGCCGCCGCGCGCCGCCGCCGCCGCCGCCGCCGCCACGGCCGCCGCCGCGGCCGCCGCGCGGCGGGCCCCGCGGCGGGCCCCGCGGCGGGCCCGGAGGAGGCGCGCGGCGGGCCCGGCGAGGTGGCCCCCCTCGGGCGGCCTTCAGCGGCGCGGGTGCCGGCACGGTGGGTCGTCGTCGCCGCGGTCGTCGTGGTCGACGCCGCGGTCGTCGTGGCCGCGGTGGTGGTCGTCATCGTCGTCGTTGTCGTCGCCGTGGTCGTTGTCGTCTTCGTCTTTGCCGATGCCGTTGCCGTGGCCGTCGTCTTCGTGCCCGTGGTCTTGGCCGTCGTGGTCGTCGCAAGGGGAGGAGGAGGAGGAGGAGGAGGAGGAGGAGGAGGAGGAGGAGGAGGAGGAGCAGGAGAAGGAGGAGGAGTAGGAGGAGGAGTCGGACGAGGAGGAGGAGGCGGAGGGGAAGGAGGAGGAGGAGGACGAGGAGGAGGAAGAGAGGAGGCTCGCTGTCCTACCTTTTTTCGCGTCGTCTTCATCTTCATCCGCACGTTCTCGTCTCCTCGTATCCCCACCTCCTCGTCTCGCTACCCTCCTCCCTCAGAGTCACTTTGGCCCAGGCTCGCGCCGTCGCCCTCCCCGGTGTCTTCGGGGAAGGGCGGGGGCCGCATCCAGCAAGTCCTCGATGGCTGCCTCCAGCGATGCGCCGTACGTCACCCGGCGAGACCGAGTGGGCTGCCTGCGATCCTTCATCTTGCAGCACTTCTCGCCCTCGTATCGGAGACGCTTCCCCGGCGAGGCGCCGCCAGAGTATCGAGAGGCTTCCGAGAGGTTCCAGGCTTCGCTGCAGCGGGCCCACGGGGCTTCCGAGAGGGCCCACGAGGCGTCCGAGAGGGCCCTCTAGCCTTCTGAAAGGGACCACGAGGCTTCCGAGAGGGTCCACGCTGCTTCCGAGAGGGTCAGCGAGGCCTCCAGGGGACCCCCAGTTCGGATGCAACTCTTGGGAGGTCAAATTCTGATTTTGCCCTGGTCCGAAGTCCAGCTTAATCCTGCCTAAACCCGCTTCATCCCGCTTAATCCGGTTTCATCCCGCTTGATCCGGCTTACTCCCGCTTATAATTCGAAGCCCTTCTGGCGTAGCAGCCCCGCAATGGGGCTTCATCCTCCTTAGTCAATCTTCCCGGCGAAGGCCTCCCAGCAGTTGCTTCCTCACCCCAGACAAGTTACCAGCCTGGAACATATCCCTATCCCTATGCTGGGCACCTCCTCATCACGATGCCAATCTTAGGGACTCCCTTATTTTTTACAGGCGAATCCCTAAGGTTGTCATCGCCTTTTGGCGTGTCAATCTTAGGGGTAGGGATACGTTCGAGGCTGGTTAAATGGGGCCTAATCCTCCTTAATTAATCTTTCCGGCGAAGGCCTCCCAGCAGTTGCTGCCTAGCCCCAGGCAGGAGGCCCCCGAGAGGACCCCCGAGATGGCCTAGGCTGGGAGGCCCCGCGCCGGCCTCCGAGAGAGGGAGCGGAGACCTGCCCGAGGCAGCCCCGAGGCGCCTGCGACGGCCCCCAGACCCCCCACAGTCAACCCGCATAGCAAGGAGGAGCAGCTCTGCAAGGTTGATGCGGGATGACGATCAATACAAAAATGGGAGAGAACGATCCAACAAATAGTTTTCTGCTATTTCTGCACAAGTTTCTGACTGGAGGAGAACGATAAAAAAATAGTTTTCCAGCCCGCGGCCGGTTTTTCCTAATCGTCATCCTGGGCGCCGCCGCGTGAACACGACCCCTGGTCATTTATTATTCGTCATCCTCCATTACCCTTGCATCCTTCCCCTTCGGCCCATCCCTGGCCGCTTCCGCTGGCCGCGCCCCGCCCAAAAAAAAGTGTCGGCATGGCCTTCCAGGGCCCTTGCCTCCTTCTCCTGCGTCCTGCCTGTGCGGGTTTTGGCGGTGCCCCGCGGTTCAGAGCAGGGCGACGCCCGCGGGAAGCAGAGCCGCTGGCCGAGGCCTGTTGTTGGTGAGGCCAGCCCGCTGACGGAGGCTGACCGCAGGGCTCGGCACGCCCACCCCGCCTGTGGGTCCCCCTCTCCCTCCTCCACCTCCCCCTCCCCCCCTCCCCCCTCCTCCTCTCCCCCCTCCCCCTCCCCCTCCCCCTCCCCTCCGCCTCCTTCTCCTGCTCCTCCTCCTCCTCCTCCTCCTCCTCCTCCTCCTCCTCCTCCTCCTCCTCCTCCTCCTCCTCCTCCTCCTCTTCCTGTGGATCGAGTATCCAGGTCCCGCGCGAGGGTGCGAAGGCTGTCGCGCTGTGCGCCTCGCGGGCAGGGCCGTGGGCCGCAGGGCTGCTCTGCTCCCAGGAGGCGGCGCGGCAGCGCAGTGATGGCCGCGCTTCGCGCGGGTCGCTGCGCGTTTCGCTTGAGTGCGGCGGCCTGCAGTGTACGACGAACGAACAACACACACACACCCATACCCATAAGGGGGTCGTTGGGAGGAGGACTGGCTATGGGTATGGGTGCGGGTTGTCGGACCCTAGGGAACGCTCCCGTTCGAGCGGGGACCCCCATCCGACAACACGCACCCATAGCCCTTTCCGGCCGGCCCCCCCATGGGTATGTGTGTGTGTGTGTTGTTGGTTCGTCAGTCTAGGCGCATCGAATAAGAAATCGGCCTCCCCGCCCGTGCCCCGCAGAGGTCTCCTGTCCTCCGAGGGCCCCAGGTGCGCACAGGAGCCAAGGTCGCCCCCAGGGGCGCGAAGACATTCGCGCTTCGCGCATCGCGGCTTGGGTTACAGAGCTGCTCCTCTCGAGGGGGGCGGCGCGAAGGCGCGAAGATCACCTTCGTGGCGCATCGCGGGGCGCGATGCGCGAAGTTGGGTGACCTGGGAAGCTCTGGGACTCCTCAGGGCCCTCAAAGATGGACGAAGCGCGTGCCCCAGGATCTTTTTGTCGCAAGATTTCCCTTTGCAGGTGTCTGCTGTAGGCTCCCGGAGTCCGCGCAGGTCGCCGTGATCGGGCGGGTGGCAAGGGGGGGCGGACTAAGCTGGGGGTGGAGGAAAAAGGCCCCAATGGGGCCCATCAGGGCCCCTTCTGGGCACCAGTTGTTTCCGCAGGGGCCCTAACCCTAAAGGGCCCCTTTAGGACCCTCTCCTCCCCACCCCCATTGAGGCCACCCCCCAACACCACCAGCCCGACCCTGAGTAGGGGAACAAAAAGTGGCATCAACATAAAAACTCGCAGGTCCGCGCGGAGTTCTCGGATCGGCGCTGTGGACCCCTCCCTGGCGCGCGGAGCGCGCCAGGGGCGGCGCCGGAGACGCCGCCGGGGGGCCCCGGCGCCGATCCGAGAAGTCCGCGCGGACCTCCGAGTTTTTATCTTCATGCCACTTCTTGTTCCCCTATGCATGTTCAGTGTAACTCATCTCGGCGCCAGCGAAGTGGGTAACCGGTCGGGCCGAGGTATGATATCGAGAGGTCGGGCCGAGGTATGTTTATGCCACTTGTTGTTCCCCTCCTGAGGCCTCCAGAGAGAGAGAGGCCCAAAGCTGGGCCACGCGCGTCCCACAGCTGCGGCCGCTGGAGCCTCCGAGGGCGGCTCCGAGGGCTCGAGCGCGGCAGAGCGTGCGCGTGTGTGTGCGCGGCCCTCCGCGGAGGGGGGGCCGGCGGCCCTCCGCTCCGGGGTGGTGCTGGACGTGGCGGGGGGCAAGGGCGACCTCAGCTGGCTGCTCCGCAACGCCGACGGCATCGACGCGGTCGTCGTCGACCCGCGCAGGACCGACCACTCGAAGCTGGAGAGGACCGGGGCCCAACGCAAACGACGATCCCCGCCCGGCGGGTCAGTGCAACGGGGGGTCAGCCAGAGCGCCGGATCTTGCAGGATCCTGCTGGGCCAGGGTCGCATTGACCCGGGTTTGGGTGCAGGATCCTGCAGGATGTTGCAGGATCTTTCGCATTGACCCGGGTTTGGGTGCAGGATTTTGCAGGAGTCTGCAAGGTCTGACTGACCCGGGTCTGGATTGACCTGGGTCAGCAGGTCTCCGACAAAGAACTGATTCCTCTGCGCCGACAGAGGCGCGTAGGTTCCCCCGCGTGAGGCAGCGCGTAAGCGCCTTCGTTTCCAATGCGGCGTGCCGCGCTGGCGGCCGCGCAAGCCGCGTAAGGTCGCCAGGCCGTCTCGCGACAGACCTGTTTCTGCCCGTTATTCAGGTGCGAGGCTTAACAGAAATACCCCCCCTTCCAGCCCTGTTCGGGCCGAGGTATACGATACGATCGAGGTCGGTTCGTTGAGGGTGCCCAAGTGTTCTTCGTGCTTGTTGGACGTTCTTGTGCATCCTGGGGAGGGTACCCTCGGATGTTCTGTGTGTTTTGGCCGACGGATGGTCTCGTGTTCTTGAGGGCTGTTCTGCTGGCCCAGGTCCGGCTGTACCGTGTGGCCGCCAGGCTCCATTCCTCCCACGTGTCCCGTCTGCCCCGCCAGCACCGCACACCGCCACGACCGCCCGGCCCCGTTGTGTCCCCGAGATTCCCCGGGGGCCCCGCCGCGCCCCCGGCCAGCCCTGCACACCGCGGCTGCCAGGCCGCCAGAGGCCCGAGAGTCCCAGGTGTCCCTCCGCGCCCGCCAGCACTCCACGACTGACCAGAGGTGGCGGGCGTCACGACGTCACGGCGTTCGCATCTGACTGATCCACCACGAGGGGTGCATCATACTAAGGATTGGCCACAGTGTCATTGCCAACATGCTGCATCGCCATGTCCATGCCGTCGCCGTCATCATCAGCATCATCATCAGCATCATCATCATCAGCATCATCATCATTACCAGCATCATCATCATCATCATCATCATCATTATCGCCATCATCGTCAACATCATCATCATCATCATCATCATCATCATCCTCAACCTCAACCTCATCATCATCATCATCATCATCATCATCATCATCAAATTAATCATCATCATCCGACTATTCACCCAGCACGCTCGTCAAGGACATGGGTCGGCACCATACCGCAAAATTGATTTCGAGCAATTGCGCCAGGTGCAGACAGCAACGAAAGAACGCCGAGCACAGGCAACATGGACTCACAGCACACGCAACAGTCGTCAATCCCATACATCGTCAGCATACAAACAGCACACATCGAGAACGTACACCAATAATTCAAGCCAAACACATTCGCCAATACCTCTTGCTGGTAAATGCTATGAAGCATAGCATCTAGCAGCAAGCGATACCGGCGGTACATCAGCTACACATCAACAAGGTACATTAATACTAATACTGCATACTAGGAGCACGAACCGATATCATACAGCAAGGGGGCATGGGTATACGCAATACATATAATATCATATTAATCCCATGGCGCACAACTAGCCAGTACATCAATCACCATGACGACACACATCAGGAACACAGCAATAATGCACACCACGAGCTGACACCCAAACCACACACATTACTGACATGCACCACGAGCAGTCACTTCTCACGCGCACCTGGCCCATGCATCAGTGACAAGACAACGTATATGGACAGACCATACCTATCCAGGTCGCACAACTCACCAATTTCATGGATCACTAATGCGCGTAGTCGACAAAGGTCTCTGTACTACCACAGGCAGCCCGCGCATCACATTTTTCACATGAAATGGCATGCGCACATACCGAGCAACAAGATCACATCAGTTCCCTGGTGGATATCCTAGATTTGAAAAAAACATGTCGTCGTTGGCGCGTGCTCGTCTTATGTTGACCTTTTCCAGTTCTGCTCGCGATACGGTTTGTGTTGTTCCGTGGCCGTTTGGTTCAGTACAGCCCGCGCGGCTTCCATTGGCGTTGCATTTCAGACCGGAGCTTTTCACTTGCGGGAGAAGACCCTGAACAGCTTTATTGACACAGGTATCGCAGGCCTCGAGGTTGACACCGACACCAATATCGGCGGCGTGCCTCCACCGAGGGAAGAAGATCCCGATCTCGGTGATGGTGGTAATATTCTGGCGTTCAAGGTGGCCGAAATATGACCACCAACACCTAAATCTAGGATCACCTTCCCCCTGTGGAGGCAGCTCCCTGTGTTGGTGTTGGTGCCCATTTCCAGGCCTCCGAAGGTACGACGGAGGCCACGATGGGGGGTCACGCTGGGGGACCGTGATACGGGGCCACGATGGGGGGATTGGGATAATTTCACGTAAATAGTTTTATAGGTTCATGTGAAGAAAGGAAATGATTAGGAAATTCGATTTTTTAAAAGTATTGAAAAGGACGGAGAGGATGAGGACGCCAATCTGAGGCCATGGGGGTCCACGGGAGGCAGCTGGAGGCCACGGGAGGCCACGGGAGGCCACGGGAGGCAGCCGGAGGCCACGGGAGGCCACGGGAGGCCACCACGGGAGGCCACCACGGGAGGCCACGGGGGGCATTGGGAGGCAACGGGAGGCAGCTGGCGTCAGGGGGAGGGAACGGCGCCGCCCAGATTCTGGACCCTGCGATGCATTCAGTGGGCGTTCTTTCAAGAATGCAGGACCAGGACCTTTGCAGTGGAGACCCATGCCAAGAGACACTCTTTTTGCCTGCAGGGTGCCCTGGGCTTCTGGGGTTTCGATGGATTTGCTATGGAAAGCGTGACGTGCCCACACCAAAAAATCAGTGGACGCCCTGGGGTCTTAGGCTTGGGTTTCTTGTGGAACGTTTCTTCTGTGGTCGAGCCCCTACTGTACAGACAAGATGTTCGTCGAGAAAGCAACACGAAGCATAACAAAAACACACTGCCCGCCGAGCCCTGGTGAGGACGGCGCTCTGGTACTCTAGGAACCCGGCAGCGGCTGCAGAGCAGGCGGTGGGCGGAGAGGCCATGGGAGGAGAACGACCAAATACACCGATACCCTTCGCTCAGCTCCGCCCCTTGAGCGACGCAACATCAACGGAGTCGTCTGCGCCGACGTTCGCGCGCGAGCTGCTCGCGCAAGGTCGCGCGTAAGCGCCCTCGTCTTCAGTGCCGCGTACCGCGCTGGCGGCCCGCGTAAGACGCCGCGTAAGGTCGCCACGTCCTCTCGCGTACGACCCCTTTTTGGTCGTCGCCCACTTGGGGTTTCCTTGGGGCTGCGTCGTTGCCACGGCTGGATTCGCCCCAGTCTCCTGGTCAGAGCGCGGCCCCGGAGAGGCCCAGGAGGCATTTTTAAACATCCCCTGGCGATAGCGCGCGTGACCGGGGGCGAGGGGGCGAGGGGGCCGGTCACGTGATTGGCGCTGACGCCGTCCGGGGAAGCTTAGCAATGGCTCATTGCCAGACGGCGCCAGCGCGAACCGCGACATGCCCAAGGGGTGGGAGGGGCGGGGTGCAGGGCCAGTCACGGCCGTTATCTGGAACAAAATTTAAAGGTGTGTTCCAGGAAGCAGCGATGTAGATGCAGCTTGCACGTCGAAGACAGAGGCTGACATGCCCGCAGTCTCCCTGCGGAAGTCTCTCTTCTTCCCGACGGGCGCGGGTACCTTTTGGGCGCTTGCGGCGCCCAGAGAGGGTCAGAGTTCGACGGCACTTGATGCACGTGGTGGGTTCCAGAAAGGGCCTCGCCTTGGAGGGCCGAAGGACTTGGCATCTTTCCCCCGGCGGAAGTAAAACAAGGCCGCCTCCGCCAGCGGAAGCCGGCAAACGGCCGGCGGAAGCCGGCGGCAGTGGAGCATGCGCAGATGCCATGTGTTTGGGCTCAGGGTTTCTGGAGGCGGCCATGTGGGGTGTGTGGGTATCAGCCTGCGTTCCATGATATTCTCCCTTGTCCGTGCACAGCACGTGCCTCGGGCCATAGGCAGGGGAACAAAAAGTGCCATAAGCATAAAAACTCGGAGGTCCGCGCGGATTTCTCGGATCGGCGCTGGGGCCCCTCAGCGGCGCCTTTGGGTATGGGTGGTCTGGTAGGTACAGTCAAAAATTTAACAAGGACGCGCGACTTTGCTCAGGGTTCTCTTGCGTCCTTGCTCTTCCTTGCTCTTGCGGCTCGTCCTTGGCCTCTTTCGCTTGCCCGCTTGTCAGGGTACCCTTGGGGTTTTCGTCGTCCGCCGCCCCAGAAATCCCAACTTCGGCTTCCAAGGGTCTTGCGTCCTTACCGCGCGTCCTTATTACGGTTTTTGACTGTAGTCACGACCAGAGCCCTGGACTCCACCTTCTGGCGCCAGTCCTCGAGCCGGATCGATCTGTGAGGGCCCCCGCGGTGCCCCGAGAGCTGGCGAACCCGCCCGGCCCGACGAGGATCAGGAGGGGAAACAAACACACAGACACAACTAATCGTCGATCCCCCAGAAAAGATGGGAAAATGTGGGAAGTGGGGGGGAAGACGGAAATCCAAAAGATATGGGAAAATATGGGGAATCTGCTTATTTGTGTGTATTCCCTCGTGTGTCCCAGGGCCCCTTCAACGAATCGCTGCGCAGGGAGCTCGGGTCCGGGCGGCCCTCCCTGGGCCCGGGCCTCCGGCGCCAGGACTACTGGCTGCTTCCTGGCGTGGGCCCCCCTGGAGCTCTCGACCCGATGCCCTGGGGCCGGTTGTTCGTCCAGGTCGTTTTTGGACGAACGAAGCGACGAACGAACGAAGCGGCGAACGAAGGATAATTAGAGAGCGAGAGAGAGATAGAGAGAGAGAGAGAGAGAGAGAGCGAAGTGAACCCCACCCTCCCCCTCAGAAATCGTGGGGGGCAGGGGTAGGGTTCGCATGTGGCCCCGTATATCCACGTCGTTTCTGGACGGTCGCAGGGCCCGGCGAGGGCCCCCGGGGAGGCCGTCCGTCGGCGATGTCCGCGGCCCGAGCGGGGTCCGTGCTTGGAGCAGCCCCGCGGCAGGCCAGCGAGGGGCAGTGCCTGGCCCAGCTGGCGCTCCAGCCGCCCTACGCGGCGCCCGGGCACCTGCGCTGCCACCTCGACGCCGGGCTCCTGGCCGCGCTGGAGCAGTCCGAGTCCGACCCCGCGGCGTGGGACTCCGCGCGGGAGGTGCGCCGAAACATAGACGTGCGCAGGGCGGGTGCA